CTCTAGATATGTGACAGTAGAATCGTACAATATTTGTCTTTTTATGGCTATTTTCAAGGTTTATTTATGTTGTGACATGATTCAGAGTTTCGTTCCTTTTAATAGTTAAGTAATATTCCACTATGTATATAATTTTTAATCCATTCACTATTGGATACCTGGGCTATGTATCAGTCCATTTTTCTGCTGCTGTAACAAAATACCTGAAGCTAGGTACTTATGAAGAAAAAAGGTTTATTTAGCTTACAGTTTTGGAGATTCAAGATCAACATGCCAACATTTTTTCTAGTGAGGGACTTCTGGCTATAACACAACATGGTAGAGAACAAGGATAACCAGCCATATGCAGAAAGGACCAAGCATGTGGAATAGCTTTGCTTTATAACAATCCACAAGAACTCACTCACTCCACAAGACCAATAAGAATCCCCTCTGAGGGCACAACCCTCCAATTACCTTGATCTAGCCCCTTACCTCATAAAGGTTCCAAAACCTCAACACAACCACTCAGTACCAAGTTTCTAGTACATAAACCTCTAGGGGGACAAACCACATTCAGACCATCACAAACTGTTTTCACCTCTTAGCTATTGTGAATAATATCGCTATGGATATTAGCTCAGAAGCATCTGTTTGAATCTTTGTTTTCAAATCACTTGAATATATATGTAGAAATTGAATTGCATTCACATGGTAATTCTATGTTTAACTTTTTGAGGAACTGCCAAATAGTTTTCACAAGTGGCTACAACACATCATTTTCCCACCAGCAACGACAAGGGTTCCAATTTTTCCACATCTTTCCCAGTACGTATATTCTCTTCTTTGGATTATAGCCATCTGGGTAGATGTAAAGTGGTACACTGTGGTTTTGATTTGCATTTTCCTAATAATTAATAATAATAACCATTTTTTCATGAACTTATTTTCCATTTGCATATGTACTTTGAAGAAATGACTTTCCAAGTTCTTTGTCTATTTTTCGATTGTATCATATTCCTGTTTAGTTGTAGGGCTTCTTTATATATTCATATATATATATATATTTATTTATTTTACATGTTCCCTCATCAAATACACAATTTTCAAATATTCTCATTCTGTGAGTGGTCTTTCACTCTCATGATTGTATCATTTGGTGCACAAAAGTTCTTAAATATAATAAAATCTAATTTATCTTTTTAAAAAACTATTGTTATCTGTTTGTCATAATAAAGAGTCCACTGATAAATCAAAAGAAATGAAGATTTGCCACTAAGAATTCTAAGAGATTTAAAGTTTGGGCTCTTAAATTTAGGGTTTTTAAAATCTATTTTGAGATAATTTTTGTAAATGGCATAAGGTAAGGGTTCAACTTCATTCTTTTTCATGTTTTGTCAACAATGTTGAAGGAAAAAAGTTATCTTTTCAATAATTGAGATGCTAATTTATACTATACTGTTGTTCATTTAAAGGCTAGCAATTCTCAAATTGTAATTTATTTTTTCCAGTATCTTAATATATTTTTTTTGTAAATAAAGGCATCCTGGTTTTTATTTTAAAATATTTTTAACCCTACTTCAAAAGTAATTAATGTTTACTATCAAATTTGGATAACTAGGAAAACAAAAAGGAGAAAATAAAAACAAACATTCAGAAGAAATAGAACATTCTACTTTCTATTATTAAAGTAATTCTTTTCTCTCTTTCTAAATGTCTTTCTAGATTTGTTATATTTATCCATGTCAAGTATACTACAAATTTTAATGGCTGTGTATATGGAGGAACCAAAATTTTTATTTAACCAAACATATTAAAGTCTCTAAATAAAATAAAAAATAGGGCTGGGGATGTGGTTCAGTGATTCAGTGCCCGAGTTCAATCCTGAATAACCGCCCCCCACCCCGCCAAAAAAAAGAAGGTTAAAAAAATACCACAATGTCCAATGGCAGTGCATTAGGCACAAAAAGCTATTTAAATTTAAATTAATTGAAAGTAAATACAATAAAAAATAAAGTTCCAAACAGTGCTCACAAGACAGCAAGTGCTTATAACCCTGTCTGGCTAGTGACTATTATATGGGTCAAAAGAAATATAGAACACTTTGCTCATCATAGAAAATTCTGTTGGACAAAAGTTGTTTTAAAATGTTTAAAATTGTCACTATTATAAATAACTCCTGAGTTAGTTAAAGTAAATAAACGTTAATGTATAGATGTTAAAGCTGCATTGATTTGCTTATGGGCATGGTGAAATAGAAGAGACAAAGATCTCTGGGGACCAGTCCAGAGATGCTACAAGTATTACAGGCTTTGTAAATACTAGTGTAGAAGCACTAGTCTGTACAGAAACAGATGTTGTCACATTACATTATTTCCAACTACTACTTATTTTTACTAACACTATTCTTGGGATTAAATATGAATATTTGTTTATTGTCCATTTGTGTTTGTTTTTAAGAATTAATTTTTCTTTGCTTATGATCCTCTAAAAGTTTTTAATAAAGAAAGGATATGAATACTTTGTTTTCCAAATATGTTTAAATATTTCTTTAGTTCATAACTTGCCTTTTATTTGTTATGAAATGTAGGTTAACATTTATATATTGTAAAATAGACACCTTTGTTTCTGCTTTAAGTGATATGCTTAGAAAGTTTTCCTGGTTATATGTTCAACCATTTTTTTGTTTGTTTGTTTCATTTTATACATTTAAATAGTTATGCTACATAGAATATATACTGGCATATGGTATAAGGCAGAAACTAGTCATATTTTTCCCCAATGTTAGAATATTTCCAATCTCAATACAATTCTAAGGGATAAAAACTTACAACAAAATCTACCAAGTAGATACCAAGTAGAGATCCAATCCAATCCAATCACTTTTATGTGGGAACACAAAAACTGCATTTTTTCTTTCATTTATTTATTATTTAATTATTTATTGCAGTACTGGGAATTGAATCCATTGAATCAATCAATCACCCAGTCCTTTTTATTTATTTATTTTTTATTTATTCTAATTTGTTATATATGACAGCAGAATGAGATTCAATTTATATTACACATATAGAGCATGAATTTTCACGTCTCTGGTTGTACACAAAATACAGTCACACCACTCGTGCCTTTGCTTTTTCGTCACTCCTTTTTATTTTTTATTTTGAGACCTGAAATTTGTGATTCTCCTTTCTTATCCTCCCAAACAGCTGGGATCACAGGTGTGTGCCACTTTTATATTTTAGAAAAAGACTGCACTCTTATATTTAGAAATGTGGCTTTTAAGATTTTGCTTTCTCAGATAATATAATTTCCATTCAGCCCAGGAATTAGACCTTATTTTCAAAATGAAAAGAAAAGTGAGCTATATGCAAAGAATTTTTGGATATAGAAAAAGTATGTAGAAGTACCAAAAACTTATAATTCCAGCAACTTAGGATATTGAAGCAGGAAGATCCCAAGTTTAATACCAGTCTCAGTAATCTAGGATCCTGTCTCAAAACAAAAAAATAAAAAGGGCTTGGGGTACAGGTCTATGGTAGAGTGCCCCACGTTCAATCCTCAGTTATAACAACAATAAAGAAGTAGTACCAAAAAAGTGAGATCTAGTCTCTGAAAGACCTATATGGACCAATCTGCCTGTCTTTCACAAAATTACAATAAACTCCTAAAAAGGAGCCTAAAAGACAATTCTGAGGCAAAAGTTTTCCCACTCTTTATACTCATATTGGCAAAGTTTTTCACTAGCAAATTTACGAGTGTTTCAATACATAAAATTTAATAATGATTGCTATGATTGTTATTTTTGACTCTTATTACTTCATTATGATTTTATTAGTCTCAAAAATAACTCAAATGTTTTATTAGGAGTGAAGTTGCAACTTCTATGGTTTTAGTTTTAAAATAGACTCTTTTTAAAGAGAACAACATTGGTAAATCCATAATTGTTAACATTCCTTAAGTTCCACAATTCCACATGAACATTCATTATTTATTATTTTTTAAAAATCAGTTCCTGCCCAGGGCCATGGTGCATGCCTGTAATCCCAGTGGCTCTGGAGGCTGAGGTAGGAGGATCACAAGTTCAAAGCCAGCTTCAGCAAAAGTGAGGCACTAAGCAACTCTGTGAGACCCTGTCTCTAAATAAAATACAAAATAGGATGTGGCTCAGTGATCGAGTGCCCCTGTGTTCAATCCCTGGTACCCCACCCTCCTTCCAAAAAAATTAGTTCTAATGTATGAAATATGATATGTGAAGAGCTTTATAATGTTTTGAACAACCAATAAAAAAAAAAATTAAAAAAAAAAATAAAAAAAAAAATAAAAAAAAAAAAAAGTTCCTTTAAAGAAATATTCTAAAGCTCTAATAATAAAAATCAGCACCACCCAAAACAAACATGAAACTGTCAGGCAGAGGAATCACTTCTATCACAGTTTCACATTAACAACTGGTATATTCCTCTACTGCAACATTTATCATTATCATATCATATTCCAACTACTTCTAAGTGTATTCTGCTAAGGCTGGGAGCTCCCTAAATTCATGTCAAGCCCAGTAATATTCTTTCCCCACCTTTAGTTACATCCAAAAACTTGGCACAGAGCTCAGTAAATTATGGATGTCATGATATCTTTTCCTTAAATTACACATTGTTTGTCCAAGAGAAACTGCCTCCTTTACTAGTATAACTTATTTGTGTTTCAAAATCCTTTCAAGCGGTGCTCAAAGATGTGCTAATAGTAAGTATGACCCTTCAAACTGCCACACAGTATTTTAGCAAAGTACTTAAAATACATGAATTAAAATATTTTTGTGGGACAGGTTATTAATGTTTGCATTTTACGAGAAGAAAACAAGCTTTGTGATTAGAAACTCATCAAAGTTAACAGCACTAATAGGTCACAGAGTTAGACATGAACTGAGGGTTCTAATTCTCACAGTGTACCTTTCACTACATCAAGCATGAGTTTTCAGACAATTAACCTCTTAACAAAATATCAGTTATACTAGAAATACTTACACTGACCCCAGCGCCCTGTTCTTGGGTTCAAATAATTTGGATAAAGGCCATTTGGACGATCCATTTGCTGAAGTAGTTTCCGAATATGCATGACCTAAGCAAAATAATTTAAAATTAAGAATGTAATGAACAAAAATAAAGGTCATCAAGGTTTGGTATTAGTCTAGTCTTTGTTTTCTTTCTTCCTTTTTCTTTTTTTTTTTCTGTCATTTAAGAACCTATAACCCACCCCCTGCTTTTTGTGTGTGTGATGGTCAGGAAAGCCTGCTATTTCTTAAATGACTCATTATTCTTACAAGATTGTTATTTTAAAAATCAAGGAATAATAAAAGCGATACAAAGAAAAGTAGCTCAGATAGAAATAATTTTTAAGTATATATTTACTTATATACATATATATACACATATATATACACACCCACACACACACACTGATGTATATATGTAAGTGGTATTGGAATATAACCCTGGGTCCCTTGTATGCTATGCAATTGCTCTACTGCTGAACTACACATTGTCAGCCCTGTGATACCATTTTAAATTTCTACATTCTACTATCCAGAAATAGACATCAGAAACATTGTTGATAAATATCATTCCAGACATATTTAATATGTACATATTTAACATGAGAACATTAATAATTTCATAGAAATGGAGGCAAAACATTAGAAAGTATTACATTAATTTGAATTTAATGAATTAAAAAAAAAACAATGAAGTAAAACCAAATGGTTTAACTTTAAATACTGGCCCCATAGTACATATCCCTAAATTCCTAAAATTCCAATTCCTAAGGGATCTCCAAGAGGTTAAGGGGGAAATTAAATCACAAAATATATTAAGAGGCTGGAGATTCTCCAGGGATTTATTTTTATTTATTTCTAGATTGGTTGGATTTTATAAGTGCTTTGGCTGGGGGAGTGTTTAAATAATACAGCAGTAAAGGTGCTTTATTTCTAGTATTCTTTATTTGAGAATATTATGTTTATATTTTATGGGTACCTGGCTGGTATTAATTATTTCTAACTGGTTGGGAAAACATTCTATTTTTCACAGGACCTTGTACATACTTGCTTTTTCTGGATTTGGGCATAATTCTAATCCTTTCTCTGCAAGGTCTTCCATCATTTCTTATTTGGCTGAATGTCATCATCAAATAGCTTTAGGAATAGGTTCAAAAACGCTGTCTATATTTCCTGTGTCCTTTCATATTTGAAAGCACCATTATGTATAATAATTTCAATCTGAATAATTCCATGAACCAGTTTTAGATAGTTCTGAAGGATATTATGTAACATGAGAAAACTAGCAACTTTTTGTTATCTGAAAATTATGTATAATATTGAATTATCTTAGCCTCTTTTCCCTATCATTTCCTTTCTTTTTAATTTCTATACATTAACTTTTCTCAATTTTGACTTCTTTTTTTTTCTTTGCTATATTTTGAACCCTGTCTTTCTTTGCATTGCTTCCATTTTGGCCTTCATTTTGGTAATAATTCTATCTTATACTTTGTTACTGCTATCACATCTTATCTTCTCTGAGCACTTGTAACTACATATTCTGTTCTATACAAATGAGGTCTTATCTCTTTGCTATGGTAATGTTTGCTCAGAATTTTCGACTGCTATTCTCTGATAAATATTTTTTGGCCAGTATTTCTCATGTGCATTTCATTCTTTTATTCTGGAAGATTTTTGTATAAATTCTGTACTTGTTCTTTTTTGATGAACTATTCATTACTATTTTTCTTGACTCAGCTATTCACAAGAAAGCTTTCATATAAGACTAGACAAGAGTCCAGATGTAAATATGTTTTTATGCCCTTTGCTTTCTCCTAGTCAACTGTGATTTTCAATGCAGCACTCACTGCTCAGGACAGAATATATGTCACGGATTCTCTTTTCTTGCCCAAGTTTGCAGACACAAACATAGCTTGTCTGTAAAATTCTTTGTTATTTGTCTAGCTTCTCGCACATTACTTGCAGTCCAAAGAAGTATTAACCATCAGTCTGTGATCCTACTCTCACTTATTTAAGTCTTCTCCAATGTCATTTAATAAAGTATCGAACTTTACTTTTTGTTAGATTTATTTGTGGGAAACATACTTTTGTTGCTATCATCATAAGGCATCTTTTTATAAAATGACATTTTCTTGCCTTTTGTAGCTAGTTCAGAGAAATATTGTTGACTTTTAATGTCGATATAAGTCTTTTATACAAAAAATAAACCCACATTAAGCTCTTGGTTTAGTCATTGAAAAAGACTGTTCAGGTTGAAGATACGGCTCTGTGGCAAAGTGCATAAACATGTGCAATGCCCTGGGTTCAATCCATTTACCCTTCCTACCCCGCTCCCCAAAAAAGAAAAATTTAGACTACCTTAATATAGTATATATCTATATAATAGATAACCATGTAATCTGTGAATAATCAGTATGTTCTTTCTTCCTTTTCAATTCTTAAACCTTTTGTTCATTTTTCTTATCTTACCATGCTGGCTAGGAACTTCAGCACAACTGAAATGACAATAAATTTTTGTATTTTTAAAAACTTTTAAAATAATAATAAATATTTTAAATGTTTTAAATTGAAAAGCTATGTTTAAGGTAAAAAGAAAAAATAATATCCAGAGCCCTGATAAACATATTAAGCACTAATCAAGTCTTTGAACAAATTTTAAGGAAGTCTTTTATAACAAACAAAAAAGGAAAGAAAACTAACCTTTTTATAGTAAACCAGGTCCCCGGTCAAGTAGCTGAGGTGGACAAATTCCATATGTAGTGTACCAAATTCAGCCAGAATACTGCTACCTGCAGATGCCCAGCCCCAGTTTCGCCCTACTCCACTGAATGAAAGGAAAAGATTGGGGGAAGGGGGACAACAACAATAACAACAAAAAAATCTAATGAATACATGAATTTTAAATAAATCCCGTAAAAAGTATTATATCTAACAACAGTTAATTTATATCTAAAACTTTGATAATTAAAAATTTTGTGTAGGTAATACATCCACGTTTTAAAATTATAAAAAAGTATACATTAAATATATTTTATCTAGTCTCAACTCCTTTCACACTGCCAGGCTCCACAATAACTTTCATTACATATCAATTCAAATTTTCATGCATATATAAGCAATCTAAATATATATTCATATTTTCCTCTTTTCCTAGAACAAATATAGCCAACTATACTAACTCCTCTGTATCTTGCATTTTATTCTACAATGCACCTTCATGGTCCTTCTGTTATCACAGCTTTCTCCTCCTTGGTTTCTTTTTAATCTGCACAGAATTCAATGATATTGTTGATTCTCCTTTGAAATAGCCCATCCCAGGGCCATATAACCATGTGTGCATTTCAACTTGTCTCAAACCGTAAGTGTACAACTTGCATTTACGACAAGAGGACCAAAGGTATAAAACGTCCTAAATGGTTAGAACATTATCATACCATAAAGAACTATCCTGCTCCAAATACTGATAGATAGTGCTTGAGTAACGTCTATCACATTATATAAATAGATGTAATTTATTTAATCAATACCCTATTGATGGTCCCTAGAAATATTTCCAATATTTTATTAAGTTTATCATATAAACTTAAAGAAAATAAATTTCAGTGTATTTCAGTTTTGTAGAAATAATCTCTAGGATATGTTCCTGCCCTTTTTTCCCAGCCTGCTCTATAATTTTTTATCTGAAACATTATCATATAAGAGAAAAATTATAGAGACTTTAGACGATGGGTTTTTTTTTTTTTTTTTTTTTTTTTTAGGGGTGGGGTGGTACCTGGGATTGAACTCAGGGGCACTCAACCATTGAGCCAGATCCCCAGTCCTATTTTGTATTTATTTAGAGATGAGGTCTCACTGAATTGCTTAGCGCCTTGCTTTTGCTGAGGCTGGCTTTGAACTCAAAATCTTCCTGCTAGGATTCCTTGCATGTGCCACCATACCCAGCTTAGATGACATTATCTTTTTAAAAGGTTAAATTTCTCCTGAAATGCAGTTTGAATACAGGCAGATTACCTTGGTTTCAAGCTTTATGGTAATCTATTTCACATTTACCTCTACCTTTTATATAGTTGCCCTGAGATCTCAAGTTATCTTTACCAAGGTTTCTTCACCTTAGCAGATGTAAACACTAATCTCTGGGCTCCTCAGTATGGTATGACTATTAAACTCTTTCTTTAGTCATTTTGTCTTCTGTAATTTTCTGTTGTGATTCATTGAGTCTTGACAGTCATACATACACAGAGTCACCAATGACATGAGGAAAATTTCTAAGAAATTTTTTGAGTTTTTCTTAAGCCCTTCCTGTCTGAGAAAATGTCATCATGTCTCAGTCATTTTAGCAGTTACAAAACCTGACTTACATAATGGAATATTACTCAGCATTAAAAGAGAATAAAATTATGACATTTGCAGGTAAATGGATAGAATTAGAGAATAATATGCTAAGTGAAGCCAGCCAATCCCCAAAAAATCAAAGGCCGAATGTTCTCTATGATAAGTGGATGCTGATCCATAATGGGGGGAACATGGGAAAAATGGAAGAACTCTGATGGGGCAAAGGGGAAGCAGGGGAGGGGTGGGGAAGGGAAATGGGGGTAGGAAAGATGATGGAATGAGACGGACATCATTATCCTAGGTACATGTATGACTGCATATAAGGTGCAACGCTACATCGTGTACAACCATAGAAATGTAAAGTTGTACTGTAAATTGTGTACAATGAATCCAAATGCATTCTGCTGCCATATATAATAATAATAATAATAATAATAATAATAATAATAGACTATCAGTTTGAGTTTGGCCTCTACTGCCCTATTCCATTGACTGGAACAATCCCTTAGGAAAAAACGCCAGTATAGAGATGAACTTAAGATCATAGTCACTTCAAGAACTGAGTTAGTTGTTCTCTGAAATCTTCAATCAATTTGGTCTTTTATACTTCTAGTTTTTATGTTTGCTTTTGGTAAGAAGGTAGTCTGATAAAAGCCCTTCCATGGTTAGAAATGGAAGTCTAGATTAATTATTCAAGCAGTAGAGTTCATGGATTCTTCTTACTAGAATTCTAAACCATTCTATGGGGTCTTTTCTTACTTTTAGAAGTAAAATTATCAATATTTTCTCATCTTACATCCATTTGTCTTCTGGATAAATGGATGTAAAATGAGAATTCAATATCCTTTATATTTTATTGATCAGTGCTAAAACATCAAAATCTATACCAGAACATATCAGTACCTTGCTTAAAGTTCCTTCATTGTTAAATATTATTTTTATAATATCTTTAAATTATGGAAGGCCAATATCACTAATGTAGTTTTAATGACTATAGGCTAAACCAAAGAAAGCATATAAATACAGTAACTACACAGGACAGTCATTTATCTCACAAATAATAAGTGCCTACTATACTGTGGGAGAGACACTGGTAAACCTATGTCAAGTTTATTCATGCTTCCACAATAAAAAAAGATCATTTAAATAGTTACAGTTGTTATTAAGAAAATAGAAATCTGAAAAATTTACTAAGAAAGCATGTTAGATGAAAGACAACATATTTCTGAAATGACTCAGTCTGAACTAAGACCTGAATGAGGAGGAGATACTCATGAATAGATCTGGAAGAAGAGAATTCCTAGGAGGGGAAACAGCAAGGTAATGGCAATGGGGCTGATGGAAATTAAGGGGGACTAGTGTGGCTAGAGCTCAGAAAGTAAGAAAGTCAATGATATAGGATGAGGTTAGAGAGTTAGTATAATCTAAACTCCATAAGAATTCTGTAGGCTGTGGTACAATTTCAGAATTTTCATTTTAAGTGTGATAAAAGGTCATGGATAACTGAGCATAATGCTTTAGGAAGAAAAACATACCATTTAGAAAGATTAGCTAGGTCTTGGTGTAGTGAATAAATTGCAGTGTTGTCAAATATAGCCCAGGAAGTTCAACAATTTACCCTTCTCTGTAGAAACTTTCTGGCAAAAGTCATGAAGTTAAGCTTCAGTCACAATACACTGAAATACCTTTCAAAATATTAAATTATATACAAGGTTTGTCATCTTTTATTTTATATAGTGTCTCATAAGAAGAGTCTAAAATATTAAATTTCATACACACACACAGCGCTGAGAAAATAACAACTCAGAAAAATAAGGAAATCTTCAAGAACAAGAAATAAAACTGTCAAGGACAGAAAAGTTCCAAATATAAAAAAGCTGCCAAAAACCAAGTAAATAATAATTTCTGCTTGTTATGATTTTTCAGATGATCAAAATAAGAAGTATAGATATCTAAATGTACATATGTTTTTATACATAATAAGTACATGAATACATTTACAATGAATAACAATAAAATAAGTAAAAAACATGATTTCTCTCTTGGCTGATTACCAACAACAGAATTTTAGAAATGTTTGATAAACTTTTAATAATTTTCAAGATAAATCTAAGTGTCCTACAATCATACTCATTATTTTGATAATAAATTTGAATTATATTTTGTCCAAAGTCCATTGAAAATATTTCTCTGGTATATTCAAAGAACAAAGCTTCTAGTGAAATGTGGTTATCAGAAAAGAAGTTTGCAAACAATTGATGCTAAAAGTTGTTCCAAAACAAAGTATGAACTAATAAATTAAAGCACTCAAACAATGTGTAAGTTTAAGTTGCAATATCTTGACCTACAAAATAACGATTTGATGGAGCTCTTATTTTCAATTAGACGTATTTAAATTCTAGACATCGATGAAATGAAGAAGCCCCATGATTTTGGATTAACTAAATTGGAAAAATTATTTAAAAAAAAAACAACTAAAAGCAGAAGTCTTATTTTCAATGTAAAAATATATAGTACTTGTAGAAGGCATTCTGAATGAAAGTAAAAGGATGCATTTTTAAAAATAAGTGGTTCAAAATAGTTACACATTTTAATATGCAAACTTTTAGAATTTAGAATACCTGGCAGTTAAGCAGAATTTGATATAAGCAACTGTTCAGGAAATACCTTCTCAAATAAAAGCACACAAAGGTCATAGATATTAATAATTTCAAAATTCTATAAACATACATGAAGGTGTACTTGTTTTTTTTTAAAGAAATTATTCCAATTTGAATATTTGGAAAATAGTTTTTAAATAGAACTGTTTCACAGTACATCTAGTAAAAATAAAACAAATTTATCATTAAATACTGTAAAAATAAATAATTTTAAATATTTTAGCACTTTCATTCTTAAATTGTATACTTATGACTAACATGTTGTATGTTCTCCCTTATAAGATATCATAACCTGATTTTTACATTTTTCTAGTATAAATTATTTTCCCTATGATATAACTTACAGGGCAGCATATTATCTTTTAGAGTACGAAAAAAAAGTACTGAGTTGTTTTTCCTTCCCACTGGAGGTTTAATCTATACTTAGGAAGTTTAACCTATATCTTTTGTTTTTAGGAAATATGCTATGAAAAATATGGTTTTGTATATGTCTTCCTTAGCCCACACCTCTATTATTTCCTTAGGGTAAAATGCTGTGTCAAAAGTAATATAAAGTTTTAGAGGCTTTTGACAGATAACGATAAACTTGTCTACAAGTAAAACTACAATGTAAGAATGAACTACTTCTCACCTGATCTACAACAGAAGGCAAAATTTTTAAAATTTAAAAAAAAAAATTCCCTGTTTGACAGAATGTAACAACTTTATTTTAAAATAATATGAAATCTGACTTTTGTTTTATTTTCATTTAAATTAGGGAGATAATATATTCAGAAGACATAAAATTCAAAGTATACCCCCCAAAATATAAAGACTTATGTCTAAGTCTTGT